CATATAGAATGATCTAATGGACATTGGAGACGCAGAAGGGGGAGAATGGGAAGCGGGGAAGGGATGAAAAAGCACCTATCATGTACAGTGTACATAGGTGAGGGTGGTGGGTACAGTTAAAGCTCAGATGTCACTACTGTACAATGCATCCATGTAACCAAAAACCATTTGTACCCCTTAAAGCTATTGGGGAAAAAATTAAGTAATTTAAAAAATCTTTACTGTTCCTAAGAAAACTAAAAATAGACTTGCCATATGATCTGGCACTTCATTTCTGGGTATATACTCAAAATAATTAAAAGCAAGCTCTCAAAGAGATATTTGTACACCTATGTTCATAGCTGCATGATTTACAATAGCCAAAAGGTAGATGCAACCAAAGTGTCCATGAACAGATGAGTGGATGAAGCAACTGTGGTGCAGATATAAAATGGAATATCACTCAGCCTTAAAAAGGGAGAAAATTCTGACACATACTACGACATGGATGAACTTTGAGGACATTATGTTAAGTGAAATAAACCAGTCACAAAAAAGGAAAATACTGTAAGATTCCACTTAAATGAAATGCCGAAAGGAGTCAAGTTCATATAGACAGAGGTAAAATAGTGGTTTCCAGGGATAATGGAGAAAAAGGAATAAGGAGTTATTGTTTAATAGGGACAGAGTTTCAGTTTTTCAAGATGAAAAGAGTGCTGGAGACAGATAGTGGTGATAGTTGCACAACAATATGAATGCACTTAATACCAATGAACTATACACTTAAAAATGGTTAAGATGATGCATTTCATGTTTTGTGTATTTATCACAATTTAAAAAACACACATTTAAAAAAAGAAGTCCTTAGGTAGGCAGCCTCAGGTAGGAATATACCAGCTCAACAATAGAAAGGTTCTGGGTTAGCTTCTTTGCAAGTCTTTTGGCTTTTACCCCATGATCACAAGATGGCTACCATAGCTCCAAACACCTCAACATCCAATGGCAAGAGGAAGTGGTTTTTTTTTTTTTCTAAAATATCTTTTTCTATTAGGGAGAAAAACCTTTCCCAGATAGCTTCCCTGTAAGTCACCACCACCCCAGGTATCTTCTCTTTAAATCTCAGTCACAATTACAGTGAATGTATAATTATCTTAGTCTACTCAACATTAATATCCCCAAGTCTAGGGATAGACCCTCCTTCCCAAAGTACATTGCTACCTGAGACCTGAGGTCTGAACCCAATCAAATCAATGTTCTCTTGTGACAAAGAAAGGGGAGCAATAAGCCCTGGAGTGGGCAGCCAACTCTGTCCATGATACCAACGCACTCACTTACCTTTCAATAATGGTGCCAAAGTTCAGCTGAAAATATTTCGATACATTTTATGCCCAAGGTTTACCTCCTGACTTTACCCCGTAGAACTGGCCTCTTTTTCTTTTGTACTCCACATATAACCACATTCACTGAAGTGTTCCTAACATAATTACCATTCCTTCTTGTTGACCTCTCTGTACGATTCTCAAAGACTGGACAATATTTTATTTATCTCTGCCTCTCCAGTATGTAGAAAATATAGAAGACCATAGAAGGCATTTACTTTCTAAATGTTTGATAAATGAATGAATGAAGCCAGGCTCGGTGGCTCAGCCTGTAATACCGCGCCTTGGGAGGCTGAGGTGAGTGGATTGCCTGAGCCTGTGGGTTCAAGACCCGCCTGGGCAACTTGGCGAGACCTCATCTCTACAATAAATAAAAAATTAGCCGGGCATGGTAGCGCGCGCCTGTGGTTCCAGCTACTTGGAAGGCTGAGGCAGCAGGATCGCCGGCGCCCAGCAAGTCGAGGCTGCGGTGGCCGGGAGCAGACACTGCACTCCAGTCTGGGTGACAGAGTGAGACTCCAACTCAAAAAAAAAAAAAAAAAGTGAATGATTGAATGAATGAGTAAATCCACTAAATGTATTGTTCAGAGAAGCTGCCAAAAATGAACCCCAAATTCTGAATTTAAAACTCACAAAGGAAACCAGAGCAGACCACATAATCAGGCCCAGGCAGGGCCTGGGCTTTGCAGAAAACTTCAGTGCAGAGAGAAGGCAGCGTCTCATAAGTCAGATGAGGAAGGAGAAAGGGAAGGAGGCCAGGTCTGGCTTTCAAATCCTCACACTAGGCTGGAGCTGTGCATATCCCAAGCAGCTCATTTTTGGCAGACAGCCATGGAGAACAGAAGCTTCTGGACCATAAACTATTGTCTAGAAGCGAGCAAGACATAAACGTCTTTCATTTTTTGTGGGTGGTTGTGGAAGCTGGGAAAACTGATTTCAAAGTTGCAAGATGCATTCATACTTGTTATTATGATCCAATCTCCAAAGGCCCTATATTGACTTGGGGCTACATATGACGTCCTGTTAACATCATTAATTCAAAGTTCTTAGTCTTGCCTCCACCTTCCCCCTGCCCAAATAATCGAAATTTTTCTCAATTATTTGTTTCCAGGAGGGCCCAAGGGGTCACCATTGACAGAGTAGGGGGTGGGAAACATGGCAGAGTTGTTGGGTTTGATATGTTCTTCCTATCCTGCTCTGGCACCTCCTGCCACTGTCACATAAAAGGACCTCGTCACTTAACAATGCCTGCAATAAGATTGTCAAGACCCAAGCCAAGAATGCTGTTCTTCAGAACCCACGGGGCTTCCAGGTGTCAGCAAAGCTGGTAAAAACGGCCATCTTCCCACTTCTAGGCCTAAGGCAAAACTGCTCGGGCTCAGAGTCATAAAATCAACTCTTAGTTTCTGGTTCTCTGGCCTTGTGTCATCATATGGTGGTCCTGCCTAACGTTTGCTGCTACTAGAAGAAAGAGTCAGGCCTCCACTAAAAGCAGGCAGGGGCATCCAAAGGCTGTTACTTTCAGTGGCATTGGTGCTGGGATCAAGCCTGTTGGCAATCTCCTTCCTGCTCGGTATCCTGCCTTGGGTACTTGGTATGTTCCTACAGAGACATATAGAACCCAGGCTGGGCTCGAACCCATGGGCTCAGACAACCCTCTTACCTCAGCCTCCCAAAGTGCTGGGATTATAGGTGTGAGCCACTGTGCTGGACTATCAGGATTTTTTCCATCTTAAAGGGTTTTAGGAAATGGATTTTCATTAGGTTTGGCTTGGATCACCATATATATGTGGTGCTGCTTAAGAATTAATATTACAATATTGAAAAAATACTTTGAATGAAAAAAAAAACTGTCTTTTGTGCTGTCATTGGAAAGGGAAGATGTGAGGAAACAACTGGCCCTTCCTCGATTTTTCTATTTCAGGGTCCCTCATCTGTGGCACTATTGACATTTTGTCGGGGATAATTCTATGTTGTGGGAAACTGTCCTGTGTATGGTGGACATGTAGCAGCATCCCTGGCCTCTACTCACTAGATGCCACTAGCATATCCCAATTGTCACTATCGCAAATGTCTGCAGATATTGCCAAAGGACTTCTGGGAGACAAATCACCCCCAGTTGAGAATCCTTGCTCTCTATTAATACTTCTCTTGTGTAATAGCAAGGTCATTATGTTTGTAAACCTGCCAAAGCTGAGATCTGTGTTGTTCAGTGCCTGAGTTTGTGGGTTCAAAGAAGCAAAGTCCTGATAGGAATTCTACCAGAGATCCAAGTATGTCATGTAGGGTAGGTTGTGTTTTTGGTTTTTTTTTTTAGATGGGAGGTGGTTCTCACTATTTTGTCTAGTCTTGTCTTGAATTCCTGGTCTCAAACTCCTGGGTTCAAGTGATCTCCCCACTTCAGCTTTCTGAGCAGCTGGGACTGCAGGCATGCAATACCATGCCCAGTTAGAGTAGTTCTTATCAAAATGCTTTTCCTCTTGTCTTCCTTCATATCCAACAAAACGAGGCTCCTTCCCTCTCTTTTCCAGAACAGCATGTTCGCCCATCCATTCATCCTCTCCCTATGTCTCTCTCCGTCTTTGGCCTACTTTTTCTTGATGCCTCTGAACACATTCATGGTCTCTCTCTCTCCGTGGCCTCTTGCCACACAAGCTTTTGTCTTATTCTTTCCTCCTTTGCATCTACTCATGTGGCTTACGCTATTTCTCTCCCTCTCTTACTTTTCTGATTTTGCACTGAAAGTCCCAAAGATCTGGCCTGGACCCTCCAAGCTCATCTCCACAGTTGGGTGTAGGTGGGGGGTAGGAACTGAGCAGCCCAAGTGGCACCAATTTAGCAATGAGGAGGAGGATGGGAGGAGCTGGCGGCACTCGTATGTGTGAAGGGTTGCAGATTGTTTTCACCCTACTCACAGATGTGCAAAGATGTCACGTCTTCGATTCTTTAAAATTGTTCTTATCTTATCTCCCTTATAAGCCTCCAACCACTGAATACAGGGAATAATATTCCAGCGCAACAATTTAAATACACACAGTAGATACATGGTCCATCCCTTTAGGTAAAAAGATACTTAGCTTCCTAGATATCTGCATTGTCTATCTTTCTGAGATGGTGTCTGGGTTTTTGTTTGTTTTGAGTCAGGGTCTCACTCTGGTGCCCAGGCTGGAGTGCGGTGGCATGCTCACGGCTACCACAGCCTGGACATCCTGGGCTCAGATGAGCCTTCCGCTTCAGCCTTCCAAGTAGCTGGAACTACAGGCACGCACCACCACTCCCAGCTATTTTTTCTTTTTTTTTTATTTATTGTAGAGATGAGGTCTCTCCTTGTTGTCCAGGCTGGTCTTCAACCCCTGGGTTCAGGCAATCCTCTCGCCTTCCCCTCCCAAAGTGCTGGGATTACAGCAACGAGCCACCACTTCTAGCTGGTATCTGCGTTTTTGATGGCGTTGTGACTAAAGGACCCCATAGAGATAGAGAGAAGATGGGTCCTCAGATCCAAGCAGTTTCTTCTATGCCCTTACTAATTTCTGCTGTGAGTGGGTGGTCTGGATACTGTCTGGGTTGCAGCCTTTGAGGGTGAGCCTGGCTGTAATCTGAGAGTTTTGTGAACACCTGCTGTTGAGGCTGTATCTATGGTACCTGTGGTCTGGCTCCTCCTGGTTTGGAAGGGACTGGTTGTGTTCCCTGATGACTCAGCCTCCGCTCTGGCTGCCGCCCCAGACCCCACATCCTCCATCTGGCTCTTCCCTAGAATGCCCACCCCCAGCCCGGCTGCTGACTCACCTTTCCCTTGTGACGGCTGATGTGTGGAGGCCCGTTGCTTTCCAGATCTCTTCTTGAGAGCAGGTGGAAAACTCCCTGGTCCACTCTCTTTCACACTGGTCCTGGAGACAGCCCAGGAAATTATATTCTGCCCCTTTCTCTGCATAACCATGCTGTACTGTTGAGTTAAGCCTTGATGTAGGCTAGGGTGGTGCCAGGCAACCCGCAAGGTGAACTCCTCCCAGAGTCCCCAAGACAAATTCTTCAGAAGCCCTCGGCCTTTCCCCTACCTACTTAACAGACCTTCCTGCTTTGGGCAGAATCAGGGGAAGAGAGATTAGATTCTGCTTCCCTTACCGGTCTCTTCCTATTTTCCTAGCTAGTCCCCTAGGATAGACAGGGTGGGCTTTCTTCTTTCTCTCCCTGTCTACTCCAAGACTTCCCTGCCTAAAACTCCAAGGTCAAGGACCTAAACCTCCCTGAGGTAACTGGAAACCTCTAGAAGTGTAGGAAGAAAAGAAGGTCAGTATAAGGAAATATAAAACAAGGTAGCATATTCGGGTATTTCAGAACTCTGCGATCGCCATTATACACATTGATAATTTTTCCTCCCACATATCATGTTTTTGTGTGGTTGTTCCATAGAGGCCTACAAGACTGAGACCACAGCCCTGTGGGGAGACCGCAGCTCGCCAGCCACTGACTGGAAGAAGATATAGGGTCCTCAGACAGGAAACCAGACTCTGAGGGCAATCTTGGCAAACAGGAGAGAGGGTTCTCGGTCATCCTTAAGGTCTCTTGGCTTGGCCTCACAGGAGGCTCAGGACAAGGACAATTTTCCCAGGTATGGGCTAATTTTCTCTTCCACATGGAGTCAGGCTGGGTCTTCAAAGGGAGACTTCTTTGTAGGGCTGTGCTTCCCTGGCTATACAATTCAAGAGATCAGCATAATAAAATATTTTAAATAAAAGGATTTATTAACATAGGGGTATCAACTTTGTATTTTGCCAAACAAGCATGTTTAAAACAAAGCAAAGTTGGTGATTTTCTTTTTTTTTTAGTTGGAGTCTCACTCTTTTCACCCAGGCTGGAGTGCAGTGACACGCTCAGGGCCACAGCAGCCTCGACCTGCTGGGCTCAGGCGATCCTTCCACCTCTGCCTTCCAAGTAGCTGGAACTACAGATGCACGCCACCATGCCCAGCTAGTTTTTGCGATTTATTGTAGAAACAAGGTCTCACCAAGTTGCCCAGGCTGGTCTTGAACCCCCGGGATCAAGCAATCCTCTTCCCTTGGCCTCCCAAAATGCTGAGATTACAGGCTGAGCCACCACACCCAGCCGTTATTTTGTTTTAAGGAAGCCATCATTTAATGACAAGAGAGAAAGCCACTTCAGATGCCTGGATGGCATGGAGCAGAGGCATGGAACCGAGGCAGGTGAGGGAGAAGAAGGTCTATAATGGAGCAGAGGCATGGAACCGAGGCAGGTGAGGGAGAAGAAGGTCTATATCAAGGGTAGGAAGTATCTTTCTTTGCCCATAGTATTTATTCAGGAACTTATGGGAGGCAGGGCTGAAAGGAAGCCAGAGTGTGTCCTGGAGATCCTGTTATAACATGGTGAGGAACTAGGATGTCAGCTTTGAGAGAGTCAGAGCTTCTGGCTGTTTCATGAGGAGGAAATTGACTCGAAGAAAACCATGTATAGGAAATTTAACTTGTAGGTTATGTGCAGCTGCTGATGGAATTATTACATTTTGCAGGAGTGAGTATGGGGAAGGAAAACCATTTAGGTGAAAATGTGCCTGGGGCCCATCCCAGACTTTGGCGGAAGTGTAACCTCTGGTATGATACGAATGGGTCACTTTGGCCAAGCTGGAATGCAGTGACACACTCATGGCCACCCCAGCATCCACCTGCTGGACTCAGACAATCCTTCTGCCTCAGCCTTCCAAGCAGCCAGAACTACAGGCATACATGACGGCCGGCTAATTTTTTGATTTATTGTAGACATGAGGTTTCACCACGTTGCCCAGGTTGTTCTTGAACCCAGGGCTCAGGCAATCCTCTCACCTCCCAAAGTTCTGGGATTACAGGTTTGAGCCACTGTGCCTGGCCATGGGTCATTTTTTTCTTTTCTTTTCTTTTTTTTGAGGCTCCCGGCCACCGCAGCCTCAACCTGCTGGTCTCCGGCGATCCTTCCGCCTCAGCCTTCCAAGTAGC